ACAAGGCTTGTCCAAATCAAGCAAGATTTCTTGTTCCAGGAGTACAGTATCAGCTATTGATAAGCCCTTGACAAAAGCTATCTGATTAGGACTGAGGAGTATATCTAGATGGGGTTGAAGTCTAGCCACAATGACCTTGTTGATAATCTTGTTGACCAGTGAGATTAAGCTGTTAGGCCTGAATTGGTTCCAGTCTCTTTTTTTAGATTGTTTAGGTATCAGCACCATAGAGGAAGCATAAAAGTAATGTGGGAGGTTAGAGCCTTGAAAGAAGCGTTGGATAACATGAATTATATCAACTTTAATAATCCCCCATCCTTTTTTATAAAAGTCAGCAATGAAGCTATCTGGGCCTGCTATCTTGGAGCTGTCAATAGAATTTACTGCTTCCCATATTTCATTTTCTTCAGGAGGGTCAATCAATGAAAGATTTCTGGTGTATAGGAGAACCTTACTGAACATGTTGGTATCAATAGGCAGTCTGTCAGATGTGGGCTGTGATAACAACTGGTTGAAGAATGAAACTGCATCCCAAGAAATATCCTTATTATCATGGATCCACTCTCCAGCAGAATTGTGTATGCCATGGATGTCATTACATTTCCTTTTTTAATTTATGTAAGGATGGTAGAATTTGGTAATTTTATCCCCATCTTTAAATTTGTTAAAAGCATCTTTTTGAAAAGGATAAAGTTTTTGCCACTCAATGGCATTAAGCAGTCTCTTCTGTGCAGTAGTTAAAGAGTTTTCAACATCCTCATTATCCAGCAAGGCCAATTCAAGTGCCTTCATCTCTCTTTCAGCAGAATCCACAGTTGAGAAATCATCCCCAAAAGTTCTCCAATCCAGGATCTGAGAGCAGAACTCACCTTTAAATGTAGGAACCACAGCTTAATCAAAGGGTTACATGTTGGATACCACACTAGTTAGCAGCAACACATTCTAAGATGGAGGGGTGTTCATACCACATGTCAAGGTATCTAAAAGGAGGTGACTTAGGGGGGGTGCAGGGGGCGACAATGGCAATGAGAAGGGGTTTGTGGTCAAACTAGCTAAACTCAAATGGGTAACTGAAGTGTGAAGAAAATTTTGAAACCAAGGTCATTCACCAAGAATCTATCCAGCCTTTCCCAAATTCTTCCTCTCTTCCAAGTAAAGTTAGGGCCAAAGAACCCCAAATCAAAAAAACCAGCCATCTGTATGTTATCATAGAAAGAATTGATCCTTGAAAGATTAGGAGCTTTTCCACTAGTCTTTTCAGATGAAGAGGCAATGCAATTAAAATCTCCTCGCACCAGCTAGCTAGAAGACATATTAGAACTAATTGAATGAAGGGCAAACCAGAGCTCTACTCAATCAACCTTGTTGAAACCAACATATACAAAAATCATAAAACCAGAGTTACCACTCATAAGGAAAGAGAGATGAACATATTGAGGATTATCTATAAAAACACACCAATGGATTTCTTCTCTGCAAAAAATCCAAATTTTTTGTTGATACTAAAAAAATGGGAAAAACCAGTAAACTTTCTAATCATTTTTTAGGGTATTTGAGAACCATAGGTTCCAAAATTGCAATGCACCAAAGTTTATGTTTTCTATTTAAATGAAGTAGTCTTTTAACAGAAAGGGGATTAGTAATTCCCCTAATATTCTAGCATAGAAAGTTTACCAAGATGAGAAAGTTGGGATCTAGATCACACTCTCCCTCTTCTAGTCCTAGAGGGAGAGCCCCCCTTAGAGGGGCTAGCAACCACTGAGGAAGAATTATCTTTTAATCTCTGAAGTTCTGAGCCTGTCTTTTTCTCTTTTTCATTGATTTTTGTATTTGTGAATCAATCTCCATTCCTTGGTTCATCTCAATTAGTAATCCAGGGTTGGGTGCCATAGGTTCAGGGTTTGTGAGGGAAGGAGTACAAGCTGCCCCATAGAAATACCTAATTCAACAGGTTCTATAGCTTCAAGATTTTTAAGGGGAGGAGGGCAAGATAACCCCACAGGAATACCCACGTCCACAGGTGTAATGACTGATGGAGTAGGCTCAGACTGAACATTAAGAGGAGAGAGTTGTTCCACAGTGTGACCAGTGTCCACTCCATCCTTTCTTCTATTCTCTAAAGTTTCAGCAGCATTAGTAAGTATTACAAGCTCTAAGATTTGGCCTGGAGGTTATTTCTTAGAAGGAGAACGGGTTCTATAACATATGTCCCCTGTATGACCAAACATTCTACAGTAGGGGCAGTAATAAGGCATTTTCTCCATTATAATTTTTTGTCAAATCCCATCATCAGTTGAGCCCAGCCAAATATCCTCGACATCAGGTAGAGTAATGTCTCTCTTAACTAAAATTCTTGTCACTGATGGCCTGGAGAAATTGAAAGTGGGGACATCCATTTTCAGTGTTCTTCCCAGAGCAAAGCCAATATTAAACAGGACTTTGGGATTGAAGAAGTGCAAAGGTAAACCAGGCAGCTTGAGCCAAATAGGAACAATAGGAGGTTCCTTGCTGAGATCAAACTGAAGGGTCCATTTAATAATCTTCATTGCAGCCCTTCCATTTGAACAACTTGTTTAGCAAACAATCTTCCATATTCCTCAAGTGCTAGTTTAATCATAATATGACAGCCATCAACATACCCCACCTTCCAAGCCACTGTGAAGGGAAATCCCTCAAAAAATATTCTCACAATATCCATCTTGGGATGACCAAGTTAGAATTTTCCAATCAGAATGAATTTGCAATCTGCCTTAAGTGTATTAAGATCCTCCTCCTTCTAGTAAATAGCAGGTTTGCAATCTTTAACACTCAGGGGGTTGATGAGAGAACAAGTTACTTTACCCAATGTCGCATCATGAAAACCCTGAGGGGAAACCAGCAAGTCAGCATTTTGAATGGTTTCCTCCCCTTTGCCCACCACACCCGCATAGGTGGCTTTAGTCCATTGCGCATTAATGACTACATCAATCGATGTATGGTCTACCATATAAATAAGCAGACAAAAACTCACAAGAATGACAAGATTAACTGCCCTCACTGAAGCTAAAACAGAACCCCAAGTAGTGGAACAATAACCAAGTCTTTTAAAAACTGAAGAGCCCGGAAAGCAGGCAAACGCAAACCAAATCAGTAACCCAGAGAAAGGGCCACCAGGCAAAGTTCAGAGGAGCTTCTCCACCACTAGCCACCAATCCCAACCTCTCCAAATAGTCATCTTCCCAAGAGAAACCCTAGCAGAGCCCCT